TCTTCTTATCTGTGTTCATGGGTTCTTTTTGTAGGCAGGGTTTCACATAAACCATGCTAGTCTCCAACCCACTTTATAGCTGAGTATGATCTTGAAGTGACCCTTCTGCCTGCCTTCCCAGCACTGGGATTGCAGGGATGTGCCTGTTTATGCCCAGTTTATATGAAGCTGAGGGCAGGCAAGCACTCCATCAATTAAGCTACATCTCTAGCCTTTTCTTTTACTGTTTTTGGGGTAGAGTTTTACTCTGTAGTCCAGGCTGGCTCCAAATTTCCTATCTAGCCCGTGTTCCCCTTGGACTCATGGTAATCCTCTGCCTTCACAATGAGAGGTTTACAGATGCAAGCTACCAGGCCAGCTCCCTTCTTTGCTTAGTCATTTACTTAGTCTTGAGGATTAAACCGAAGATCTCCAGTATGTTAAATGTCTACTGCTGAACCCCAACCTTTTTCTTTTCCTCTCATCGTCCTTCTCTTCTCTATTATGGCCCTGACTCAATACAGCTTAGGCCTGCCTATAGCTGTGAGGGCCCCCAGGGACCCTCTAGGGCCTGTAAGACCCTCAGTGCAGAGATTCCAGGTAAGGTGTGTCCACACTCTGCACCTTAGCTTAGCATCCAGTCATGGGGACCAAGCTACTCTCAAAACCTCCAGGCAGCCCAAAGCTGCCCCCTTCTCTTTTGCTGAGCTCAGAACATTCCTAGTGATAAATGTCTAGTTTATTCTCCTATCCCTTTTCCTGCTGCATGGCACTCAGTGTTGGGGAGGGCTGTGGGACTGTGTTGCCATATGGACATGTCATTTGCACATATACAAATAGGTAGACCTGGGTGGGAATGGAGAGTGAGACTATACAGCTCATCTTAAGCTGAGATTGAGCCCCAAGCACTGGGTGTCCCCACAGTTTCCCTGGGCCCTGCCTCCCTGGCTGCAGGCTAGGTACACATGCCAAGTGGATGACCTGTAGAGCCTCCACATAGGTCAGATGGAGGCTGTGAAATCTAGCTCCAATGCCTAATAGCCAGGATTGACTGGCTTCTCTCACACCATTTCAGAGGCTCAGACATAGCTTTTACTCACACAGACAAGGATGACAGTGAAGACAAGATACTAGGTTGTCTAGAATGAAGCCTGAACAGGAAGAAATGGCTTTTCAATCTGGGGAGAGAAGCAGGTGAATCCCTCTCCCAGGTCTTACTTGCCCGCCCCTCTACCACTCTAGGCAGGTTCCTCAGACAGGTGCACTGTCATCCCCAGCTCTTAAGATAATTGGGACAATGTAGGTGCAGCAAGGCCCCTGTCCCACATGCTGGGAAGGAGACCTGTGACCCAAGTCATCCTCCAGAGGCCCCACATGCCTTCCTTAAAACTAGATCTCAGCTCAGCTGAAGTACAGCCAGGCCAGCTCCCCAGACAGCACCAATTCAGGCCTCAACTGGTTAACTCCTGGCTAGGCAGAGCAGAGCCGGCCTGCCTGGACTGCAGGCTGACTGTCTTCACTCAGCGCTGTAATCGGCACATCTGCAGACAGGAAATCCTCCTTGCTGAGGTTCCCAGTCTATTATCTGAGACACCTGGTGTGGGCGGGTGATTCAGAGACAAACAATGAGGGGCCCCTGCACAGCAATTAACTGCTTTAACTGCTAATATGTTTAATCCACCACTGGAGATCAAGGCTGTGTGGAGGAAAGGCTGCCTGCCCCTCTTGGCTTCCAGAGCGCAGAACCACTTTGCCTTGGCTGCAGCCTGAATTGCCCCCCCCCCCCAACACACACAACCACTACAGAACATTGGCCTGGTCAGGTATAGGGTGCTAGGGCCTCTCCTGACCATGGGTATCATGGGGGCCTGGGAGAGCATCCCTCAAAGTGCAGCTTGTTGGGAAATATTATCAGCTGCTTGGATGGGGGGCCAGCCATGCAGCTGTGTGTTTTATTTTAACCTCCCAAAGTGCATCCTCTTATAACTAGCAGAAATAATGCTTCATTAAAGGCTTATCAGTGGAAGCTGCAGAAAAAAGTCCTGTTGTTCAAGTGGGAAATGGCTCCTGAATGTTTACAAAACCTGGCTCAGATGGGGGTGGTGAAGTCAGCACATGCCCGAGCGAGCAGTGAGCGCCAGCCCCACCACCCAGAAGGCGTGCCAGAAACCGCTGCCGCCACTGCCACAGCCCTGGGGAAGCAGGGTCAGAGGCCAAGGACTTCGAAAAGCTTCCAACCCCAGCATCAATCACTCCTGCAGCATGTCTGGGGGATACTCTTTTTAAAATAGAAAAAAGTAGAACAGACTCCGACAGCGGTTCTGCCTGATGAGGACCCCCTGGAAGTCAGGGGACCCAGGCTATGCAAAGGCATGAACCCTACAGCATTGGGCACATGGTGGAGTGGCAAGACAGGGAAGGGGCATGGTGATGCACTCAGTGGGCCCAGGATTTGTGAGACTGAAGCAGGAAGATTGGCAAGTTTGGGCTCCATTGTGAGTTCAAATCAGCCTGGACTATGTAGCAAGGCCCTGTCTCAAAAAAAAAAAAAAAAAAAAAAAAAAAAACCAAATCAAACAAGTAAAAACAACAAAGGCAAGACACGGTTCCATGTATCCAAGGTAAAGAGAATTATGGGGGTGGGGGTGGGGATAAGAAAAAAGCTGTCTCCTCACCACTTATGAGTTTAAGATAAACCACACACTCTTTGGGGTATAAGATGTGACCTAGTCTTTTGTAGTGTTCATAATGAACTTATTAATTTTTGCAGTGTGACCAAGAACATGCTCTTTGGTGATGGGCTAGCTTTAGCTGGAGTACTCAAATCCACATTCCACACCCCTCTTCTGTGTGATCTGAACCATTGCTCCATCTTTTCTCATTCAACCTCATTGTTGACTTCCATGTTTGAACAACTTAGGAAGAAGTTTCTCTCCAGAAGTGTATTGCTCTGTGATGTAGCCCTGTTCTTTAGGAAACCCACTCTGGGGCTTATTGTGCCTTGGACAACCCCTCTGGAACACCTGGAGACCACCTGCCTCATTGAGATGGAGCAAAACGAGGTTTCTGAGGGTGATCTGGTTTCAGAGACCCAGATGATCTAGGACAAAGCAGTAAAGTACGTTTCTACTGATGCAGGTATGCCCTGTGTCAATGTGCAAGTTCATAAGGAAGCCAGGAAAACTAGAAACCCAAGCTAAAAGGTACTCACTCACACTGTGGTGGGCAGGGATGCTCACATGGGATATGCCACCCTCACCAATAAGGACCCATGGTGCTCCATGGGGGTCTGCACTCACCTTGACCAGTCGCTGGTCTCCCAGCATGCCTGTGACAGGAACAGCATCTTGGATTTCTGTTCTCACCCTCTGGCTGAGCCTCCACAATCCTTACTACATAGACACAAGCCCTGTAGGCAATCTTCTCCTGATTACACCTTCCTTCTCCCTGGGGGTGGGGGTGTGTGTGCATATATCTAGCAAAGTCAGCCACAGCTAGGTATGTACAGCTTCACCTACTAAGCCTTCATTCCCTGAAAAACTGGGCCTACCACCCATGGAAAGCAGAAGGATGAGAGCAAGGCTATGTAGTAACAGCCAAAGCACCCCTTCTGGAATGGAACTTGGGCCTGGGAAATGCTAGGCAAGCCTCTGTTAATGAACCACATCCTCTGGCCTGCATCAGCAAAGCTAGCTTGTGGACATTTGTGTTCATTGCAATAGGACTGACAATGGGTGAAAGCAGCCTGCATGTTCATCAACAGATGGATGGACAAACAAAATTGTTCAGCCTTAAAGAGGAAGGAAAGCATGACACATGCTAGCACATGCTTTGAGGACATTATGATAAGTGACTCAGGCCAGGAACAAAAAGACAAATGCTATACCCTAGTCATCAAATTAAGATAGGAAGTGGAGTGGTGGGTGCCGGGGCAGGAGGAAACTAACCTGCAGTAAATCAGGGGCTTTGGGGTGGGGTGGTGCTCAGCATACACATGGTGGTGACTGCTGCACAGCAGGGTGAATGCTCTTAAGGACACAGAGCTGGGCACCAAATAATTAACATAGAAAGTTTTGCATTATATGTATGACTATCATTTTTAAAACTTAAAAATATGTCACTGTGTTTTTCTGTGAAAATACATGTGTATGCAGGTATGCACATGTGTGTGTGCATGTGTGTGAAGGCCAGATGTTAAGCTCAGGTGTCATTCCTCAGGGGCTATCCTCCTTGTTTTATTGAAGTATGGTTGGAGCTCACTGACCAGGCTAGGCTGCCTAGGCAGCAAGCCCCTGGGATCCACCTGCTTCTGCCTCCCCAGCTCTGAAAATACAAACCCAGCTTTGTAATGTGGGTGCTAGGGAGCAAACTCATGCTTATGCAGCAAGCACAAATTGTCTCCCCCACAGTTCTCTACGTATCATTTTTATGAGAAAAACCAGATGTGATGGTGCATGCCTATAATTCCAGTACTTGGGCTGCAGGGGCAGGAAGATCAGCTCAAGTTCATCCTTGGCTACATACGGAGCTTGAGGTTATCCTGGGCTATGTGAGACACTGCCTCAAAGCAAGCAAACAAGAAACTAGCTTGAAATTATGTTGTAAAGCAAACATCTAATTCATTCAGGACAGATCTATCAAGGTTTAAGCCCTATAGGAAATCTCTAGGATTTACTCTGACCTCTATGAAGGGTTGTAGAAGACCTCACACACTGCCCCTGAATGATGATGCCTGGTGACACTAGCAAATTTCTTCTTTGGTTTGCATTTCCAGAATAGCACATGGCAATGGGAAAAGAAAGAGCTAGAGGAATAGTGTGTACCAGGAAGGTGTAGGTACTGTGCCCACAGGCTTTCACAGTAGCCTGCAAAGTATACCACACTGTGGCCAGCCTACTTGGGAGCTGGAAGAGTCGAGGACCCAGGAGGTGCAGGGAATGAAGGTGAAGAGCCCTGTTGAAGGGAATTCAGTTCTGCTAGTTTCCTTGAGCTAGTGTATGTGTAACTTGCCGCATCCTTACCTATGGCCCACAGGACAGTATCAAAAGTGTCTGTGTCCTCCTTGCCAGAGGCATGGTCCTCCCAGGTGACCTGCAGTTGGCCAGTTGGGAGTTTTTTGATGAGGGAAGGCACACAGCCTTTCAGGAATTGGGTACCATGAGATTCCATGTGCTCTGTGATCAAAGATGACATTTGCTGCAAAGCACAAAAAGACACCATGAAGACCAGGTTACTACTAGCAACAGGCACTGAGAGAGGCCCTAGCCTTCCACCTTGCTCTCAAATGCCTGGTAGGGCCACAACAGGGTTCTGCCCAGAGAAGAAGGTGGGGTGCCCACTAACCCCCCAAGCTACCTCCTGGCTCCCAATTCCCAGATCCTGGGACCACTGGGCTGGGTCCTCTCTTAGTCATGGGATCTCTGCCCCAGTTCATCTAGCGAGCCAACCCAGTCCCCACTGTGTGTCACCAACATCCCCTCACTGCCATCAGGAAGTTGGGGGAACTGACAGAAGACTCTGACTCCCAGGAAATGCAGGAACAGTGGTGCAGGCCTGTACTGGGGGGTGGTGAAGGTGCTGCAACCACCTCCTTGCCCACAGGGCCCAGTGTATCACCAGGTCTCACTGTGGTTAAGGCTAGTTCATATGCAACGCTGCGGTTAAGCCAGGCTGACAGCAGAGACTAGACACAATTGCCTGGAAGGCATAAACAACCACCATTTAAATCCTGTGACATCTGCCTAAGTAATGTGGTTCATGCTGGACCACATGTATGAGGAGCCCTTTATATCAGGGTCCATATCTCAATTTGTTCCAAACAAAGTAACTGAGTCATTAGCTGACTCATTAGTACTCTGAGCCACCAAACGCCTGCTGGACTCAGACATGCAAGTCTCTAAGGGGAACAATGGGGTTTTCTCAGTGCCCAGCAGATCTACTGCCACCTGGCCTGAGACTCCAGCTCTCTTCTCTGCAGGTCCCTTTACCTCTTGGGCCTCCTCTACACCTGCAGCCTGTCTGTTGCCAACATATGCCTTCACAGCAGGAAACCCATAGTCTTCCCAGATGTTGTGTTCCTGTAGCGGGGCGTGGTATGTACACCCTTGGCTATAGTGGCACAGTGTTAGGATAAAGGTGTTTGTGGGGTAGGGTGATGGAAGCAGAGGTCATGAGACTGTGGAGCCAATGCATTCCATGTTCAGCTGACTTTGTCAGGCTTCTGTAATCAGAGGTTAACATGACAGAGGACTAGGCCATCTTTGGTACAGGACATAGAATATTTGGCATCTCAATGACAATCTCATACTTGAATTTTAATGGGTGACTTATTTTGGGGGATAGGGCTTGAAATACTGCCCAGGTTGGTCTCCACTCTTAGACTCAGATGAACCTCCTGCCCTCAGCCTCTCAAGTGCCAGGACACCTGGCTTTTAAGGACTGTTTTTGAAAATTTAGGTCTCTCCCAAAGGCCACACCTACATCTGCTTGGGGCATGGTAAGGCAGCCAAAAAATAGTGTGGCTTCATGAAAGGAGCAGAGCCCAGGTGGGAGTAGGAGCTCCTAGGCATTACCTGGTCAAAGCCTCGGAGAGGGATGCTGCGCATCATGACTGTGGTATCCAGTCCAATCCCTGTGAGGAAGCCAGCACACTCTAGGGCCACATCTTCAGCAGCATGCTAAGGAAAACTGACTGACTGTGAGTTAGGGAGCAGAGGGGCAATAGAGTCTGTACCCTCTGTCTGTGCTCAGTACAGAAGACACCTCTGCTGGAAGCTTCAGAGGCCAGGGGTCTCAAGTGCATAGAGCAGCCAGCCCCAGCTTCAAGCTCTCCCAAGAGCACCCACAGGTCAGACAGGGTTATGCCTATACAGGGCTTCTATCTGGCTCTGGTGTTTAGTTTTAGCCTCCAGGAGAGAGGGTGGAGATTCAGTGGAGAGCTGCTGGTCAGACCCAGAGGAGAAGAGCCTTGGGGGTAGAGTCACAGAGCACTGCCTGTGGCTGTGCTCCGATGCTATATGATGCTTAGCCTTGGGGCTTTCATCTTCCCTTCTACATCCTGTCCTGACCCTAAGCCTCCCAGGGCTCCCCCTCCCCTGACACTTCCTGATCTGACTGCTCCTCCTGCAGGGATGAGGTCAGATCAGGGCTGCTCTCAAGGGAGAGGCCCATCACAGCCATTGTGACTGCCTTACAGCCCTCTCCAGCTGGCTTAGTGTAAGACTCAGGAAACAGTAGCCTTCAAAGGTCAGCCTCAAATGGTTCCTTGGCCAAGACCCCCAACTCTAACAGGTCCAGTTGCGCCCCCACACAAGAAAACAAAATTATCTCCTGGGAGGGAGAATGATAAAGGGGTCATTCCTAAGGATGGCCATCTGCAAAGGATACAACTGGCTCCAACCACCAACCTGCAGAAGAAACCAGCAAAGAGCATACAGAGTGAGTACCAGCAAGGCCACATGCTCTTGTTCCAAGGCTGGGACAAAGATGGGCTCTGTAGCCTTCCTGTCAAGTACTCACAAGCCCATGACAGTTGAGGCTGACTGTTCAAACAGGTGGTGGCAAGGTATAGAACCTGCTTCCTAAAAGTTACAGCTATGAAATACAACACAGCAAACAGTGCTATTGAGCCTGCAAATTGTCTGGTGGTGAAGGGTGCATGGTCAGTGACAAATGACACCTGGCCTGTGAAAAGCATAGGCAGCACCGGGCTGGTGGACATGTTGAGAGATGTCCCTCAGAAGCACAAGGCTTTCCTTCTGCCCACAGGTGAGTCTTGTCTTAGGCTCCTCAGAACCTCTTGAGCCAGGATGGAAGCAGAGATGATCTGGTAAGACACTAAGAGGACCAGAATGGAGACAGTTTCTGTCCAACCCCACAACACATGGGACCAATAGATCTCTCTCTCTCTGTCTCTGTCTCCTCCAGAGCCAGTACAAGACACTGACTCACTGGAAACACTCATTTTAATCTTCTCTTGTGGCCGGCTCCACATTCCACATTCCCACACACATGTGCATGCATTCACACATACATGTACATTCAGGGGACATGAAAACACGAAAAGTCCTTTGCATGTACGCACACATGCACAGGCACGCACATACACACACACTGTGAATACACTAGAGAGGACAAGTGGTCACATATAGCTGTCCACATCCTCTCATATGCACACCCACGAATGAGCACACAAGGCACATATGTGCACACTCATGCAAAAGGGCTGAGGAAATAAGGGTTCCCAGCCAGGGTGGCTGCATGTGGGTGGGCTCGTCAGATCACCCCTTCAGTCTTTGAACAAGAGCAGGTGATGTAAGGATGGATAAGCCTGATGTCAGTACTAATCCTGGCAAGTACTAATGATATAATTCCATTTCAAAAAGCAGCGGATCCCTCGGAATACTTGTGCAGGTGCCCTGCGGGAACCATCTGGCGTGCGGCTTCTGCACAGGAGCTGGGGACAGAGTCACACTGACTGGCTGAGTACAAGATGGTTCCAGCTGCTCACACAACCCCACTCAGCATGTGATGAACATGGGCAGGGGTTCCTGGGATCCCAATTGAGCCAGCAGAACGGCGGTGCTTCCCAGGTCCCCTGTGAACTGACTGCCAAAGAGACATGCACAGGAGGAAAGTGTGTATCTGCCTGCCTGCAAGCACCCACACAGGTGCGATGTGTCCAGAGAATAAAACCTAACTCTTCGGGTTTGATGTACAGAGTAAGAGGTCCGAGCTGTTTAAGATATGAAACCCCAGTTACTTAAGAAGCAAGCAGAATTAAGCTGCTTTGATCATCCTGCCTCACCCAAAGTTGGAGGGTAAAGTCTTCTGTGAGCATCCAACAAACACTACTTTTGCTCTCAGCTCCTTGAAGAGCATGCCCTGCCTCCCAACGAGCTGTGGCGACCCAGCCTATGGGGTAGCCCTTCTGTTGGTGACTGGGCTTCTCTACTTATCTCAAGTTCCCTTCAGACTCTTCCCAGGCAGCTGGAGCCCCTAGCCCCCACTTCTAGGCCCTCCTACCACATTGCTGAGCACAAATCAAGCAGTCTCCAGAACCCGGTTTTTCTGTTTCTGCAGTCCACGTGTGCCTCCCAACCTCCCACAATGCAGGCTGGGTGTAGGAGATGGGTGGGCGGGCAGCCAGGGATCACCATCTGCTCCAGCAGAGTCCCATGGGCACCAAGGACCTCCTTCTGGGATGGCCCCACAACAGAAGGTGGAGAACCATTTCCCAGGTGCCCCCAGGCCTCAGGCCACCAACTCCAAATTGCCCACTCTAGAGCACCGACAGGGAAGAAAGACACTGTAGGCAGACACATTCCTGGGGGTGGGGGAGTCTTGAGTGTGTGCACTGAAATCTCGACAAAACTCACATCTTGTTTGAATGGACAGTGACCTTGGGCCATTCATTTTATGAGCCATGTTGATAGTTAGCATTGTTTCATTGTTTTTTTTTTTTAACTCCCCCTCTCCCTCTAATTGACCAATTAATGGGAACATGTATTTTTTGAAAGAGGAACAAAAGAAGCCAGAGAACTGAAGCTCTAGGAATAGCCATACATGCCTATAATCCCAGCACTTTGGAAATGGAGGTAGGAGCACCATGAATTCAAGGCCAACTTGAGAGCTATGAAGAGAGTTTGAAGCCACCCTGGACCCTTGAGGAAAAAAGAGGGGGAGCAGGAGGGAGAAGAAGAGAAGGAGGAGGAAGAGGAGAAGGAGGAAGAGGAGGAAGAAGAGGAGGAGGAGGAGAAATAAAAGCTGAGGTGAAACATGATGCTGTAGATTGGTTTCTACTGGCCACACTCACCCAGGACCAGCTACAAAGGCACAGTGACCAGTGCAGCTGCAGCCAGCCACAAGGGACAGCAGTGCTGGCAGTCTGAAAGAAGTTTGCAAGCCTGAGAGTTAACACTGTATTTAAAGATCTGAGGTCAGATCTTTGTCTGTTCAACCAGAAGTCACCATCCTATACCCTAGAGCCTTTAACCCAATCCTTCTCTCTCTCTCTCTCTCTCTCTCTCTCTCTCTCTCTCTCTCTCTCTCTCTCTCTGTGTGTGTGTGTGTGTGTGTGTGTGTGTGTGTGTGTGTGTGTATGGGGGGGTGCCTTTTAGTCTGCCAACATTCTCCATGGATACAGGACTACCATGAGATTAGTTTAATCACAGGGTGGCTTGCTTGTCAGAATTGAAAGCCAGGAGGAAGCAGAAACAAGGGCATTAACACAGACCTGTGAAGCTAGGCTGTGAGAGTGCTCAGTCTGCCTCTCAGCCAGTAGGACCCTAATCCTCTCTCCAGGAGGCACACCCACACCAGAGACAGTTTCACAAGAGCACCTGGCTCCTTGGTAGTACTACCAGTCCAGGAAGTGCCAGTCAAAGCTGTAGGGCCACAGATGCTCCAGGGAAGCAGCCCCAGAGAGGAGACACCACAACTCCTCCATCCTAGTGGAGTTGGCTCCAGATCTGCCTGGACCTGCCAGCAGCACCCAGCTCTCTGGGGTCTGCCCCCAGGCCAAGCCCTAAGGCATAGGAACTACCCAAGGTCCTGGCCCCACACAGCCTAACAAGCAGAAAAGTGAGAATCAAGTCCCAGGCTGACAGCTGCTCTCGATTCACCTCATCAGAGTATCACACAAAAAAGACAGAAGCTGGGCAGAAAATGAGAATATTGTGCAGCAGTGACTCGAAGTGGCTCTTCTAAGATAAAATGTACTTTCTAACTCTTGTGCTTAGAATGGGAGAAAAATGGCCACTGTACCTTGGGCAGCTTCCCAACTTAATGAGAGTCAGACCAATGCTACTTCCATGACCAACTCAGAAGGTGGCATTAAATCGGTCCATTATAAAAATTCTCTAGTCTGGCATGCTGACCCACACTTGTAGTCATAGCACTCAGGAAGATGAGGTGGGGGTTGTCATAAAATTGAGGCTGGCTTGGATTACACAGTAGGCTCCAGACTAGCCTGCACTAGAGACCCTGTCTCCTAATGCAAAACACCCTCGGCTTCATAGTGCCTAGAGACAGCCTCAGGTTGGTATGGGAACATGAGAGCGGATGGTAACAGACTGGCCTCAGCCACCACCATTCCCAGGGCTAGTGTGGTGTGTAGCCAGGATGGTTTGAATTGATCTAACAGCAGAGGAAGAGGTTGGCCCCCAAGCTCTGTAAGCCTTTGGGGACCAGAAGCAGTGTGAAGGGTCAGCCAAGAACAAGCAGGCTATAATTGTTAGCTGCAAACAGCAACATGGCTCCTGGAGCTCAGGCCCAATATGGGATGGGAGAAGCAGCAGAGCTAGCTCTCACTGTGGCCTCCTCACCATCCAGGGCATGCCAACTCAGGGATCAGAAACAGTGACCCTCACAACATCACCCACTGATCAGCCTGCTGGGGGCAAGGGGATGTGGGAGAGAGTGACTATCAGTCCCTGTCTCATAGTTTGGGTATCTAGAAATATAGAAAAGAGAGGTCAGGAATGCTGGGCTAGAGACAGTCTGAGCAGCAGGGTTGGAGGCAGGGCCAGCTCTTGCCACTCCCTGTCCCTACAAACCCAGTTCAGGCCCCTGTAATCTGTAAGTGAATCTCAATGTCAAGTCTCACATCCCTAAAGCAGAGTTCAGGAGCAAGCTTACTTTTCTCACCATCCACACCCTTTGACAAGGCCTTGTTTTATCAGTGGGACAGTTTTTCCACAGGGGACCAGCTACCTCCCACACCCTCACCTTCCTCACTGGCAGTGGATACCTGCCCACAGTGGTCATTATCTAACTACCCACTCTTCCCGGAGGAGCCTGTATATTCTCTAGCCCCTCATCTCTTCTCCAACCTGTTCTAGATTTTCGTAGTCAAAGAGCAACGGGAAAAGCAGGCTGGCCCAGCACACACTGGTGGCTGGGTGGCCAAGACTGGGCAGGTGTCTACTTGCAGTCCTATCCTGGGTCCCATACTGCCCAGCCTCAGTTCCTCTAAGACAGGACAAGCAGTCTGGGACCACCTTTGCATGCTCAGGAGCTCTTTCTATAAAGTTGTTAACACCCTGGGTTCTAGCCAGGTGCTTCATCTTCTACAGCTGATAATTGCTGTGCCAGCACCCAGCTGCTGGGTGAAGGGTGTCACCTAACCATGTCTCCTATGGACAGCGCCAGACCCAGATGACATCCAAGCAGGAAAGGACCCCCTCACTTGATACCCAGGGGCAAAGACAGTGGGAGGTAACCCTGGAAGCCCAGACAGCTGTGATGAGCTCAACTCACTTCATGGCTGACTAGAGGTGTTAAGTCACCACGCCCCACAGATATGCACTAGAAAATAAGTCTTGGCTGCTGCCTGTGCCCAAGTGGACAGAAGAAAGAAAGCTCTGAAATTCTGCTGTTCCCACCCAGGTTCTGGGGCCACAGCCATACAGCCCTTCATCGGCAAATACCTGCCAACAGACAGAGTCCACTACAGACCCAGGCACAGAGCTGCCATGTGCCCTTGACTGCTGACCTGGCCTTCTGGATGAGCTATGTCAAAGTGTCACTCGGCTCTGGGAGGCACCCTGGGGCCATAGGGACAGCCCTGGGATCCATATTAATTTCAGCTCCATTTTAAAGGCGAGTTAAAATAAACACAGGGAATATTTATAAGGCAAATAAATCTAGCAGAAACAGCCCCTCCAAGTGTGAGCAGGGCCTCCCCCTCTGCCCCAGCCCAAGCTGATAAAATACAGAAATGCTACTGTAGACCCTCCAGGCTTATTTTGACTGCACGGAGGAATGTAACATGTAAACACTGCCTCCCCGCCGCACTGTTACAACTTGCATTAACAGCCTGGACAAAGCCGCATTTTCACAGAAGCATCGTACAGGGATATATCTCCAGCTTAATTTAAAAAAAAAAAAAAAAAAAACCCATTTCCTCACATAAATCATGTTCAGAACTAAACGGGTGACTGATGCACCACAAACACTTTTTTTCTTAAACAATAACATACCTAGATTCCATCTACATCTACACCAAGGACCTTTAAAAAAAATGTTTTTTTCTGAAGAAAATAAACACTGTAGTTTTGTTCCTGACTAAACTATCTGAGGGCCATATCTTCTCACGGAGCCCCGGGGGAGAGGCCCCCACTTCAGGGCGGCAGAGGTTTGGTGGGGATGGGCTCTTGCTGGGCTGCTCTACATGCACAGCACGGGTCAGCTTCCCAAAAATGGGCCTGACCAGAACTCAGAAAATTATGTTCTTTAGAGATAGGCCAGAACAATGGCTTGAGCCCAGAAAGTGGAATTCAGAGAGGGGGCAGGGCCGGCTTGCAGAGCTACTGCAGCTCTAGTGCTTTCACTGGGTCCAGCTCAAAGGGCACTATGGGGAGACAGGAGAGTAAGAGCCTCCCAAAGAAGGCACAGTGAAGGAAACGGAGTGAAGCAGACTTAGTGGCAATGCCCAGCAGCAGCACCTGCTGGCAGACAGGCAGCAGGGGCCGTGGTCACCAGCTGGCACCGCAGCAGCCCACCTCACAGACGAGGGCAGCCAGGCCCAAGACATAAAAGAACATCCAATCAGAGGTGACTAAAAACCAAAGCAAACCAAAAACTAAGTTGGGGGTGGGGCAGACCCTTCTGAACATGTAATAAATCTAAAAGCCATTAAGAGTAAAGATTTAGGTTACATATAAAAGGGAAAGAAACCATTTGTACATCTATAAGTTACAAAGAATCTTTATGGTATGCAACACAGGGCCGTCTCTGATATTTGAACCAGCTGGAAGATAAGGAAGAGATGAGGGGTGGGGGACCCAGTCAGACACAAGGCCAAGGTCCGAGCAGGGAACCCACACACACAGACACTCTGAATTTCAAAGGAGGCCTTAAATACACGAAAAGATAACCCATGGAATCAGAATGTGTTCAATCTAGCAGACAGTCAAAGCTAGATGAGCAGACAAAGGACAGAGCTCAGCAGTGCAGGGCTCTGGGTGCAAAGCCCTGGGAAGTCCAGATCCTTCACACCTAGAAATAATTATGACATAAAAGAAGATGATCATTCTCTGACATAAAAATTAAAACCTTGGGTGGAAATGCTGACTAGTGGTAGAGCACTTGACTACGATATGTAAGGGCCTGGGTCTGAGCTCCAACACTTCAAAAGAAAAAAAAAAAAAAAAAGAATTTGAGAGCAAGCTGAATTAGGAGGATCACAAATTTGAGGTCACCCTGGGCTGCATAGTGAGTTCCAGGCCAGCTGGAATACATGGTAAGACTGTCTAAAAAAAAAAAAAAAAAAAAAACCCTAAATAAATATATAAATATTCAAAAAAGGCAGAGGCTGGGGAGATGGCTCAGTGCTTTAAAGCACTTGTTGCAGGACTTGGGTTTGCCCCCTAATACTCACAGGTGCCTTATAATCACCCACAACAATGCCCTCTTCTAACTTCCATGGGTACCAGGCATGTATGTGTTACATATACATATATGCAGACAAAACATTTACATATATAAATATTCTTATAATTTATTTTTATTTCATGTTCACTGGTGTTTTGTCTGATGTATGTCTGTGTGAGTGTATCAGAAGCTCTGGAACTAAAGTTATAGACAGGTATGAGCTTCCATGTGGGTACTAGAAACTGAACCCAGGTCCACTGGAAGAGCCAACTGCTGAGCCATTTCCCCAGACCCTAATTTTTAAAACAATAATAACAAAAAGAGACAAAAGGCAAATCAGTTTGGTAATCCAGCAGGAGTCATCTTGAATCAGTATGAACTCAGCCTTAGTGTGAGGAGGCGCTGCAGACAGCAACAATTATAGTCACACATGGGAATGAGGAGACGGCCATTCCATTCTGTGTCTTACAAAAAAGCAGACAATGCCCATGTTTAGGGGATGAGGAGGGAAGAAGGCAGCAGAGCATAAGGACAGGGTGCATCTAGCCTGTCAGCAAGGGGTGCTGGCCCTTGCACCCAGCTTTTCTGCTTCTAGGTAAGGTTTCCTTATAGGTGTATAAAAACTGTCTAACATCACCACTGGGAACACCATCTCTGGGAACACCATCACCACTGGGAGCACCACCACTGGGAGCATCACCATTGGGAACACCATCTCTGGGAACACCATTACCACTGGGAACACCATCTCTGGGAACACCATCACCACTGGGGACACCATCTCTGGGAACACCATCACCACTGGGAACACCATCTCTGGGAATACCATCACCACTGGGAGCACCACCACTGGGAGCACCACCACTGGGAGCATCACCACTGGGAGCACCACCACTGGGAGCACCACCACTGGGAGCACCACCACTGGGAGCACCATCACCACTGGGAACACCATCTCTGGGAATACAATCACCACTGGGAACACCACCACTGGGGGCACCACCATTGGGGATAATCAGGGGAACACCACCACTAGGAACACCATCACTACTGGGAGCACCATCACTACTAAGAACACCAGCAGCTGAACAAAGCATTGAGCTACTGAAGGTGGTCCGACAGATGGCACAATAACCCAACAATTCCAATGCTGTGTATATGCTCAAGAGAGTAGAAGGCAGGACCCTGATATCCACGCACCATCTTAACAGCAATGCAGTTCACACTGCTCATCCATGGACGAGCAGACAAAGAAAATGTGAATGTTGGTGCATTATGATCAGTTGTAGAAAAGGAGGAAGGGTCAGACAGATGGCCCTGTGATAAAGGTACATGCTGCTAAGCCTGATGACTTGTGCACATACTGGAACCCACAGGGTAGAAGAAGAAAAATCAACTCCTATAAACTGTCCTCTGGTCCCCACATGCACATTCTGGCATGTGTGCAACCCACACACTAAACAACTAAATAAGCAGTGTGGACTTGATGAAATGGCTTAGTGGGTAAAAGCACTTGCTCTACAAACCTAGAGACTGGCATTTAATATGAAGAATCCATATAAAAGTGGAAGGAGACAACCACTTCCAAGCCACCCTTTGACTTCCACATGTGCACTGTGGCACATACATGTGTATGCGTGTACATACACATACCACAAACACACCTATATGTTTTATTTATTAATCTATTTATTTATTCATTCATTCAAAGGATCTTGACAGTCAGGCAGTGGTGGTGCATACCTTTATTCTCAGCACTTGGAAGGCAGAGACAGGTGGAGTTTGAGGCCAACCTGGTCTACAGAGTGAGCTCTGCGACAGCCAGGGCTACTCTGAGACCCTGTCTCAAAACAACAACAAAAAAGAAAAACAAAACAGAAAAAACAAAGCAAGCTTGGAGCTGGGAATATAGCTTCAAAGGTAGAGTGCTTGCCAGGAGTTAAGCCCTAGGTTCAATCCCAAGCATCAGGGGTTTAGGGATAAAATTTGCACTCACTGAAATAAGTCCAGTGCATATATACATGTCACATCCTCATACCTGTGGCTCCAACATGCACATGACATACACCTGCATATATGCACAAATTTACATGCATACATGTGTACATGTACACACACACTCCTGCCTGCCCACCACTGGGGTACTTTTTTCTACTGGTATTTGCTAGAGAAGGCATAAGGCTATGAACAGTTATCATCCAAGCCTCTGTCACCCTCTTGTGGCCACTCTTGTTCCTGCAAGCAGGAAGCCTGCATCTAGTATCTGGATAAGAATGGATCTCTCCAGACTGGCAATTTGCACAGGTGCTTTGCACATGCTGCTTTTCTCACCTTCACACCTGGCCACAACTTGGAGCATGCTCAGTGCACAAAGAGGACAGGAGAGATGATCAAGAGAGATCCCCAGAGATTGGCTGCACCATGAGTTCAGGGAAATGCTACAGACCACCACCCTGCACAACAGCTGACTGGCTCTCTGTAACACTCACGTGTCACCTTCAAGGCTGACATGGGGCACCAGCAGCTCTGCAAAGGGGTCTCCAAGGCTGCCTTTCCTTCTTTCTGAGAATGATCTCATGACTCCAGTAGGAGCAGAAAGCAGATATAGCCACACAGCACACCCCAGGCCTTACGTTTTCCCAGGGGACTCCTTCAGCCAGAAGATATCATCACTTGTGATTCCATATTCCATGGCTCCTTTGATCTATGGAGGAAGAGAGAATTTATGTGGGGATGGGAGGTGACTCCATGCACACTATCCCAAGTATGCACCCTACCCAGGAAGACAGGAGTGGCAGTTCCATCCTTTTCACATTGATAAAGATCCAAGACATAGGCATGCAGACTGCAGTGTAGACTGAAGGATCCCACAGGCATGCAGACTGTAGTATAGACTCCTATAGGTATTCAGAGATTTCTTGGCTCCTGGTTTTAACGGAAACCTCTGCAGTCTTTAGGTGTCACTAAGCTATAAATAGGCCACACATGACAAAAAAGAAATGCTTCACAAAACCAATTCCGAGAAGTGCCCAGCAATGACAAAATCCCAGTGGGAGTTACCACGTTTCTTGAAATATACTGCTTTCACCGAAAGACCTGAGCTATGTGAGGGGATAGAAACTGCCTTCCAGATACAACTGCAAGGAGAAAATATCGTACAGCCTCTGGGAGACAAGCTAGTGGTCTTTCAAAAGGGTAAGTCGAACAATCATGCTCTAACTTCATTGTTTTTGTTTGGTCTGGTTGTTTGAGACAGGGTTTCTCTGTGTGCCAGAGCCCTAGCTATCCTGGAACTCACTCTGTAGACCAGGCTAGTCGCGAACCCATAGAGATCCAACTGCCTCTGCCTCTGGAGTGCTGGGATCAAAGGTGTGTGTCACCACACCCAGCTCCAACTTCCAAATACCCAAGAGAAGAGAAAACAAACTCCATTAAAAAAAAAAAAAAAAAAAAAAAAAAAAACCAAAACAAAAAACTTTTACAGGGATGCTCATAATGGTTCATAGCAGCTAAAAAGAGGAAGCAACTGCAGTATTCACTAATGGAAGTCAAATAAACAAAAGGTGGTCTTTGCACAAAATGGAATATTATTCAGTCTTAAAAAGGGAGAATCTGATCTGTCTAAGAGTAAACACTGAGCTCATTATTCTGGTGAAATGAGCCATCAAAAGCACACAGATCAGATCATTTCTATGAGGCTCTTGGAGTCTAGAAACCAGTGGAGCTGCAGCAAAGCATCAGCTAGGAACGTTGAAAAGGAGAGAGCAACTCTACCAAAATCCATCATGCCTCACAAAGGGAATTTTGGCAAGCATATTCTATTTCAAACCTTTGAAGTTGGGGAAGAGGAAGATGGAGAATGAGACTGAAGTCCTGGAGGCCTCAGCATTTTGAAGTTAAAGAGAAAAGTGATTGACAATGGGGGCTTGGAAAAAGGAACACAGGGCCAGGTGTGTGACATCACTCAAGTCAACACTTGAGTCACAGCCACCCAAGAGGCTGAGGCAGAGGGTCACTGGAACCCAGGTGTCTGGATCCAGCCTGGACAACACAGCTAAACACTATGGGAGAGAAGAGGGAGGACATTGGGGCAAAGGGACACAGGCCCCAGGAGCCTGCAATGTGGAATGATCCTGAGGCATTGCTATGTGGTGGTCCTGAAGGCCCATTTCAGCAGAGTAGATTCTGGGAAGCCTGGAAATGGGAAAGGCAATTCACAGAGGAGTGAGAGTAGAGGGCCCAGGCAAGGGTCACAGCAAGCCACTCACTTGTATGGGGTACCGCGGCCGCCCTCCTGTAGCGATGACTATGTGGTCAGCCGAAAGCAGAGTCTGAGGGTAAACAGAGAATCATGGGTCAAACAATGCATGGTCGGCTGCCAACAGGCTCAAATGCCTATGGGTGTCTGGGACAGTGGTGCCTGTGTCCCCTACTGTGCAGTGTGGATGCTCTTCCCATATCTCTAAGTCTCAGAGCAGGGGTCTCACAATGTCCACTGAACAGGAGGGCCAGGCAGGAGTCAGTGAAGTGTTCCAGCTCCAAGCACTTCTCAGTGTACAAGGCCTCCTCAGAGCCCCACAAACACTGTGGAGTGGCCCCCACCTTTGCCACCACCCACACTGCAGAACAGCCAGCCATGGCATTTGAGCTGCTTAACACGGGGTCTGTGCAGCTAAAAACTGATCTAACTCACACTAGGCAATCCTTTTGCCACTATACTATATCCCCAGCTCGGTTTGAATTGGTGTTTCTGTGTGTGTGCATGTTTCTATGTATGTGTCTATGTGTGTGAATGTGTCTGTGTATGTTTCATGTGTCTGTGTATGCAGGAATGTGTGTGTGCATGTGTCTGTGTATATGTGTGCATGTGTCTGTGTGTATATGTACATGTATCTGTGTATGCAGGAATGTATGTGTGTGTGTGTGTCTGTATATTCAGGAATATGTGTATGTGTGTCTGTGTTGGGGAGACAAGGCCCCACTAGACAGTCGAGGGCTGCTCTGAGACTCAAGATCCTGTTTCTGACTCCCTAGTGCTGGGATCTCAGGTTTGGCCACTGCACCCAGCTGTGACCTGTGCACCAACTCTGAAGACATGTGACCTCAAAGGCAGCTGTTAACATCATAACAACAGCCAGGCCAAACAAAGCTGGTATCAGGCGCCAGAGCAGCCAGAGATTCAGGCCAGTGGACACTTACCACCTTCCCACCTTTATCAACTCCTTGAACTGTGTGTTTGTTGACAAAGCTGGCTTTGATGTTAAAGTACTTGACTTTCCTGAAATATAAAAATAAGATTTTATTTTTTATTTCTTTTTTTTGCAACAGGGTATCATGTATTCTAGGCTAGTCTCAAACCCACTATCTTAGTTATGGTTTATACTGCTGTGGAAACACATGACCAAATGCAACTTGTGAAGGAAAGAGTTTATTTTGCTTATTTGTCACATCACTGTTCGTCATTGAAGGAAGTCAGGGTAGGGACCAGACAGCGAGGCAGCAGCTGATGCACTACCATGGATAGGTGCTGACTACCAGCTTGTTCAGCTTGCTATCTTCTTGTTTTTGTTTTTTTGAGACAGGGTTTCTCTATGAGGCTCTGGCTGTCTTGCAAATCACCATGTAGACAAGGCTGACCTCAAACTCACAGACATGTCTGCCTCTGCCTCCCACATGCTGGGATTAAAGGTGACACTACACCTTTAGTCTGCTTCCTTATAGAACCCAGGGTCACCAGCTCTCAGGTACTACTCACAAATGTCTCTCATCCATCAATCAGTAATTAAGAAAATGTCCTACAGCCCCATCTTATGGAGACATTTTCTCAATGAAGGTTCCCTCCTGTCAGATGACTCTAGCTTGTGTCAAGTTGACATAAAACCAGCCAGCACATGCACTATGTAGCCAAGGATGACTATGAACTCCCGATACTCCTGCCTCCACCTCCAGGATGCCAGGATTACAGGTGTGAACCACCACACTTGTCTCTAAAATTAAGGCTCTTTAAGCATTCCCTCCACAGACTTGGCCTCCAGGGCTGCTTCAACAGACAGTGCATGCAGGCTGCCAGGAGGCAGACTCTGGAGCTGGGCATTATCACACAAAAACAAATAAACACCTGTGAAGGGTTTTTTTTAATAAGAGAGAGAGAGAGAGAGAGAGAGAGAGAGAGGCAAACAGGAGCCCTGGCCCAGGCCCAGCTGCCTGTGGTCCCAATGGGACAAGTGTGAATGGAAAACTACCCTGTAAAGCAAGAGCCTCTTGCCTGTCACTCTAGAATCCCTGATATGTGGTGACCACAGATATGAAGACAGGAACAGAGCCATGATGGACACCATCCTGACAGCCCCAAACTGTGACCGGCAGGGAAGGGAATCAGGCCTCCCAGAGGGAAGCTCCAGGGGGAACTGAAGTGTCTACATGTGTGTCACCTCAATACCTAGAAGTACTAAGATGCCAAGAGATGCCAGTGAGACTGTGTGGCATGGTGTGGCCAGGTATGACCCATCCTATGTGTGAAAGGCCCCGCAGAGGAAGTAACTAACAGTGTCCAGATGCCTTTCCCTAGGCAGTCTTTCACTCTCTAGGCTGTTTTTCACTCACCCTGACAAAATCAAGGAACAGCCTTATAATAGACACATTATAGCCATGCAGCAATGGAGAGATTGCTCAGTGGTTAGGAACACAGGCTGCTCTTCCAGAGGAGGGGGTTTGAGGTCCAGTACCCATATGGTTTCTTACAACCACCTGTAAATCCAGTTCCCAGAGACCCAGAGACCCAACACCCTCTTCTGCCTCTGTAGGCAACAAGCACACAGATATACATGCAGGCAAATACACAGACAGACAGACACACACACACACACACACACGAGTGGAAACACACCAGGCAGTGGTAGCACACACCTTTAGTCCCGGCACTCAGGAGGCAGAGGCAGATGGATCTTTCTAAGTTCAAAGACAGCCTGATCTACAGAGCAAGTACCAGGATAGGCTCCAAAGCCACACAGAGAAAACCTGTCTCAAAAACAAACAAATAAAAACAAAAACAAAACAACAGCAAAAAAGAAGTGGAAACACCTTCCTGCCCCTCATGATTCTCTGCCGCCAGCCTGCGGACTCACCAGGTTCTATCCTCCAAACTGTGGAGGGCCACAGTGGCCTGCCTAAAGGATGCATCTTGTACAGGGCCAGCCTCTCACTGCTCAGCACTCAAGTCACATCCACAGGCTACACCTGAGGCTTCTCCTGCTTGTTTTACTCTCTCTCCCAGCTCCAGCCATTCAGCTAGCATGTCCCTTCATGGGGCATCCTCCACTTCCCACAGCACTGACCAGTCTCTGCCCACTGAGGCATAAGAACCCTCATGTCATCACTGCCAGGGGTTGTGCTATACAGTAAACATTTTCACAGGCACAAAATGCAAAGCCAGAAGGGTGGTCCTCCTAGGGCCACATCATATGGCCACTAAGTCCTGAGAGTTTCAGTACCTGTCCTGAAGTTGGACACGGTGACCCCAGTTCAAGGACTTCACATGGTTTTGCACGGCTTCTGCCATTTTCTTCCTGTTGACACACACACACACAAAAAAAAAAAACCCATGAAATCCACAGTAGCAGAGTTGGCTGCAGTGAAAGACTCAGGAAATAGAGGTATGGTTATTTTACTTCCCTTTATTTTTGGAGTTGGGCAGGGTTTTTGCTAAGTAGCTCAGGCTGGCCTTGAATTTAAGGTCCTCCTGTCTCAGCCTTCCAAGTCCTGAACTACAAGTGTGCACCACCATTCCTGGTTTGCAAATGTGTTTAAAGGGCTGAAGCCTGACACTCACCTTGCAGGGAAACCTGTTTCTGACCAGAGTTTGGGGCTACAAGAATGCTGGGCTTTTTCTTGTTGGGGAATATTATTTTAAGGTGTGTTACTTTTGTTTATGCTGCATTTGTTTAACTCTATGAAGATGTGATTCTTTGCCTGTCTAAAACACCTGATGTTCTAATGAACTACATGGCCAAAGGCGAGGCAGGAGCAAGGATAGGCAGGGCTGGCAGGCAGAGAGGATAAATAGAAGGAGAAATCTGGGAGAGAGGAGGAGGAACAAAAGAACAAGGAGAGGAGGATGCTAGGGGCCAGCCACCTACAGAGTACAAGGGAAAGTAAGACACACAGAAGTAAGGAAAGGAAAAAGCCTGGAGGCAAAAGTTAAGAAAAGCTGGCTAGACTGGGCATTGGTGGCACACACCTATAATCCCAGCACTCGGGAGGCAGAGGCAGGCGGATCTCTGTGAGTTCGAAGCCAGCCTGGTCTACAGAGCTAGTTCCAGGACAGCCACGGCTACACAGAGAAACCCTGTCTCGAAAAATCAAAAAACAGAAAAAAAGAAAAGCTGGCTAGAAACAAGACAAGGTGGGTGTTTATTAGTAATAATATGCCTCCACATGTATGATTTATTTGGGAGCTGGTTGGTGGGCCCCTCAAAAAGCCAAAAGAGTAAAACATCGCACAACATTCTCTACCCAGGGAATTTAGCATGTTCTTCCTCCAGTGGCCACCAGAAGTGTCTGGAGAATACCAGCTATCTCAGCCACCCCCAGCTGAGACACAGCTAGAGCTGCTCCCTGGGATAAGTGGCCGACAGGGGACCCCACAGCAAGAACTCCTCACCAGCTGTGCTGGATGGGCTGGGCCACCTCCCAGCCATAGTGGTGAGCATCTTTGATCATGTCTCCCAGCAGTGCGGCCTGATGCATCAGCTTCTTGGGTATACAACCCACGTTGACACAGGTGCCACCAAGGCCCCATCTGGTACCTGGAACATCAGAGAAAGAATGTGTGTGTATGTACACACATATCTGTGTACACATGTATGTGTATGTGTGTTGCAGGAGATAAAACCTAAGTCTTTGCACATACCAGGGAGGGGTTCTGCCACGGAATCACCCAGGCCCTGTAGAAATGAATGAACAGGCGTCCACTCTACAGGCTCAGAATGCCTTTAGGGGTTACTATTTTGTGACCTGAACTTGGCCCAGTGGGCCCTTCCCACGTGGGAAGTCATTTTAAAAAAATTTTTGAACATTTATAATTTTTGTGAATATGGGTGTTCTGCATACATGTATGTGTGTGAACCACATGGGTGCTGTGCTCACAGACACCAGAAGAGGGTATCAGATCCCCTGGGACTGGAGTTAGAGCCAGTGAGTCACCAGGTAGGTGTGAGGAATCAAACCTCAGTCCTCTGGAAGAGCAGCATTGCTCTTGACCACTGAGCCATCTCTCCAACAGCACCCCATCAGTCATTTTTAAAATAATTTTATAGAAATGTTTGTATGTTGGACAGAACACTGTAGGGAGACTGGGGCAGAAGCGAAAGAATGAATCAGTGTAAGTTGAGTGTGAGCTGTGTCCCTACTCCGTACTCCCTTCCCTAGAATGTGTGGCTCTGTCCAGGCCGCCTACCTCGGGGAGAAGGTTCCACATAGTCAGCCACTGCCACCTTCCTTCCCAGCTGAGCAGCTGAAATGACAAAGACATCTGCAGGTGAGTGGCACAGAAAACTGGCACGGAGCTTCCCAGGTGGCCATGAGGCCCAGGAGGAGGCAGGGGGTCCAGGCCAACACCTGAGCACAGGGGCCAAGTAGGCATGCTGCTCCTTCCCCTTGTCCATGTACCTGCCCTTCCCGGTACCCATGCAGCTTGCTGCCTGCAGGAAGGAGCCCTCCAGCCTCTTTGCAGACTCCAGTCTTCACACCACCCACTGAGGCAGTGCTAGGAGGATGCCTACTTCCAGAGTTCCTACTCCCACTTACTGTAGGCTTGGATGTTCAGTGTAAGTCCAGTCCCTACCTAAAGCACATAATGTCAGCCTCACTAGCAACATACACAATAGTCATGACAGACAAGTAACACATATACACTAGAGGTGAGGTGGGGAACTGGAACTGGTGGAAATGTATGACATTACTCAGCCACAAAGAGGAGGGAAGTCCTGAGACACACTATATCATGAATGAACATAGATGACATCATAGTCAGTGAAAGAAACAAAAGGTCACAGATGACCCCACTGACATGAAATGCTAAGACTCCACTGAGACAGGAAGTAGACAGTGATGACAAGGGTCAGGGAGGAGGCAGGATGAAAACATGGGGAATGAGCATGAAGTACTCAAGGGGAGATGAAAACATTCTAAAATGTGACTGGTTATGCAATGCTGTGACTATACCAAACTCTGAAGAACTCACTTTAAATGAGTGAACAATGACTATATCACATTTCTCAGTAAAACAGTAATAAAAAGGGAGAGTCCTGGGAATAAATATGGCAAAAGATGTTTCTTGCCATGCTGGTTGGTTTTAGTCAACTTGACACAAGCTAGTGTCATCTGGGTAGCATAACCTTATATAAGAAAATGCCTCCATCAGACTAGCCAGGCTGTGCAATGTTTCTTGATTAATAATTGTTGTGAGAGGGTCCAACACACTATGGCCAAGCCACCCATAGTCAGGAGGTCCTAGGGTATATAAAGAAACAAACTGAGCAGGGGGGGGGGAGTGAGAGGGGAACAATCCAGTAAGCAGCATCCCTCCATGGTCTCTGCTTCAGTTCCTGCCCTGAGGTCCCTTAACATAGAAGCGTAAGCCAAATAAAAAACCCATTTCTCCCCAATTTCCCTTTTTGTTTGCTTGCTTGGTTTTGTTTTTCAAGATAGGGCTTCTCTGTGTAGCCCTGGCTGTCTTGGAACTCGATCTGTACACCAGGCTGGCCTTGAGCTCAGAGATCCTCCTACCTCTGCCTCCCAAGTCCTGGAGTTAAATCTGTGTGTCACCACTGCTGGTTCTCAAGTTCCTTTTGACCAGAATTCTTTATCATAGCAATAGAAAGCAAACAAGAAACAGAAACCAGTATCAGGACTGCAAGAGATTGCTGTGAAGACCTGACCATGTTGTTTTGGTGGGGATTGTGGAAATGTTTGAAACTTCAGGCTGGAAGGCCATTGAGTGTTAAATGAGAGCTTAAATGGCTATTCTGTGGGAGCTTGGAAGATAAGAGTGTGGGGAGAAATGCAGAAAATGGAGGCCTGCTTATGATGTTTCAGAAGGACACTATCAGCATTGTTCATGTGATTTATCTGAATTAAGACTATGGTTTCTGATAAGTTGGGGATGAAGAATCAGTTGTGACAAAGAGACCAGCACTTCTAAAGTGAAACCTTTGCTTTACTAGGACAGTACATGCTGGTCAGCTGGAGGTGAGAAATCGGCTAAGAAGAGACCAACACCATTGACCAGCAAAAATCTTCCAGGAAGTGCTTCATAAGGCTCAACATTCAGAAGTTGTGGTCCAAAGTATCTCAAGCTGGTAGCCAAACTTGGTAATGTATAAGAGCATTTCACATAGTGATGGTTTTGGGGGGCATCCAAGCCATAGGACTGAAGGAGTCATGGACAGTTGAAGTTTGGCACCATGTGGCAGAGTCAGAGTCTCTTAAGAGATACCAGGCAGCCATTAGTGCAGCCTCAGCTGTAGTGGATACCTTAGTGTGCTGGAGTTGCCAAGACCATGAGATGACCACCAAGGACAGAGGTAGGTGTGGAGCGGAGCTGGCCTGAGCCTACAAGACCTATATGTGCTGTGGAGGGTGGAGCTGCTTAAGCCCTCAGGAGTGAGTCGCAGACTTGAACAAAGAACTACAGAATTTGATGCATACTGCTACATGTTGATTTTGCTTTGATCTAATTGTAACTGTACCCAGGTTCTTCCCTCTTGGAATAATAAGTATGTAATTTTTTTTTTTTTTACAGGAGCCCACAGTTGAGAGATTTTGAACTTTTAAAGAATTAGACTTTTAAAGTACTGACATAAGACTGTAGAGCTTTCAAAATTGTATTCATTTCTATATTGTGATATTAATACACGATCTTGGAGATAACAGGAAAGTTTATGGTTTAATATCTTTGTGTGTCAGAATAACAAGAGGTCAATTATACTGGCTAGTTTTTGTCAGCTTTATAGAAGCTAGAGTCATCTGGGAAGAGGAAATTTCATTTGAGGAAATGTCTCCATCAGACTGGCTTATAGGCAAGTCTGTGAGGGTATTTTCTTGATTAATGGTTGATGTTAAAGGATCCAGTCCACTGTGGACAGTACCACCCTTAGCCTAGTCTTGTGTATAAGAAATGTAGCTGAACACACCAGGGGGAGGCAGCCAGTAAGCAGCATTCCTCAGCTCCTCCGGGCTCCTCCCAGTTCCCGCCCCACTGCCCTCAGTGACATGGAAGTACAAGCCAAATAAACCCCGTCCTCCCCAAGTGGCATTTGGTTAGAATGTTCTAACACAACAGCAAGCAATGTGCACACACCTGGACCCCTAGCACTTCAGGGCATAGGCAGAAGGATTCAGAAACTGAGGTCAGCCTGGGCTACATAATAGGACTCTGTCTCAAAAAACTTTTATTCTTTTTTAAAATTTTTACTTATTTGTTTGGTTTTCTAAGACAAGTTCTCTCTATTATGTAGCTCTAGCTACCCTGAGCTCACTATGTAAACTAGGATGGTCTCTAATTCACAGAGATCAACTGCCTCTGCTTCCTGAGTGCTGGAATTAAAGGAATACACCACCACAATTGGCAAAAAAAAAAAAAAAAAAAAAAAGTAATTAATTAAGTGTGTGTGTGTGTGTGTGTGTGTGTGTGTGTGTGTGTATCTGCAATGTGTACCACATACATGCAGGTGCCCATGAAGACCAGAAGATATTGGGTCCCTTGTAACTGGAGTTACAGACAGTTGTGAGCTGCCAAATGTAGGTGCTGGGAACCAAAACCAGATCTTTTGCAATAGCAGCAATTGCACTTGGGAAGTTGAGGCAAAAGGATCAGAAGTTCAAGGCCAGGCTCAGCTACATAGCAAGTTCCAGGCCATACAGGACCACATTGGAACCTGTCTCATACAAAACAAAACAAAGGGAAAGGAAACTGGGAATTTATCCTGCCTGCTAAAGTTCATACATCAGTCACAACCCTCAGCACCAAGGAATATGACTATATTTGGAGGTAAAGACACAACATGCACACTAGGGATCGGAGAGATTGCTCAACAGCTGAGAGCACTGGCTGCTCGTACAGAGGAGCAGGGTTTGGTCCCAGCATTCAATGGCAGCTCACAAACATCTAACTCCAGTTCCAGGGGATCCACCTTCTTCTGGCCTCTGTGGACATAGACACCAGGCACACAATGCACACATATATACACAGGCAAAACAGTCATACACATTTAAAAAAGAACAAATGTCCACATGCAGGTGAACAGTCAAACAAGATATGATCTATCATGTGTTGTCATAATACAATAAATAAGAACAAACTACATACACTTGGTGAAAGGACGAGACTGGGGGCTGGAGAGATGGCTTGATGATTAAAAGCACATACTGTTCTTCCAAAGGACTCAAGTTCAATTTCCAGCACTCATGTCAAGGAGCTTACTAGCCTCAACTCCAGTCCCAGAGAAATTGGACATTTCTGGCCACTGCACACATGTACACATACCCACATTCAGACACACACAGAGAGTGAAAGGAGCCAGAGTAGTTAAGTGCAAGTGGCTTCCACTCGCACACACCTTAGCAAGTGACAAGCAACCCACAGTGGGAAAAAGCAGGTCAATGATTGCCTCCAGATATAGAGAGAGGGAAGGCAGGAAGGCGTTACCATGCTCTGTGAAAGCTGGACATTGAAATAGCCTGAGCTTTGTCTCCACTCCCACACGCCCAAATCCATGCTAGAGTCTTAACCTTCGGGGCCAAGGGCCATTACTACATTTGTGGATAAAGTTAAACTGGGCCATAGGTGGTCCCTTGTCCAACTCACTGGTTCTTTAAGGAGAGATTAGGGTACAGATACAGGGAAGACATTCCACCTATCAGCCGAGGAAGGAAGCCAGAAGGAGCCAGTCCTGCTGACACCTTGGTCCTTACACTGCTGTCACCTAAACCACAGCTCACACAGAATGGTGAGAAGTGTCAGGGACAGTCACCATCTTCACAGATACACCCGTCTGTCAGACTGCGCTCTTGCTTTTACTGATTGATTTATTTACTTTGAAGCAGGGTCTTGCTGTTACCCAGGCTGATCTCAAGCTTCTAGACTCAATCAATCCTCCTGCCTCAGCCTCCTGATAGCCAGAATCATAGATAGTCATGACCAGGCCCAGCCTCAAGTTATCCAGTTTAAATTCGTACTGGTCTATTATCCGTCAATTCTCTGTCATTAAAGTGAGACTCCATCTCAGAAACAAACACAAAAATATGGAGCTGGAGAAACAGCTCAGGTTTGAGAGCAGACTGCTCCTGCAGAGGACCTGAGTTCCATTCCCAGCACTCATGTCAGATGGCTCACAATGAGGGAAATCTGGTGCCCTCTACTAGACTCTGCAAGAACCTGCACTCACAATCACATACCCTTACACAGAGACATGCCAATGTAATTTTAAAGTAATAAAAATAAATGTAAGACAAACAAATAGGGATGGGACTATGACACTCTCAGAAGAGACCAGATTTGGGATCTGTGTGGATTCCAGATTACAGGAAACATTTGTTCCATAGCATCTGCTTCTGGGTATATGGCCTATCCCCACAGGGACCTTCACTTAGGAGAATGAAAAACTTCAAGGCCCCAACACACCAGGAGGGACATGAAATACAAAATACATACCTTCTTTGGCACAAGCGAGGCCACCGGATCCCCCACCAATCACCAAGAGATCGAAGCCCTGCTGCTGCCCTGCTGAGGAGGGACAGAAGGTAAGAAGCTGCCCGAGCCAGCCCCCAAACGGCAGCTCCATACAGTTCTGTGCGGGACAAAGCTTATCAAAATGGGAACTGCATCCTGGGGCAGTAGGGGTGACCACTCTGCACAAATCAGAAACCGGCATGTGGTGAGGGTGGCTGTCAGGGTGTGTGACCATCTTTGCAGAAAATCTCCCTAACTCCCAAAGGGAGAGTCAGAGCCTAAGGCTTCACCCAGTGTTCTGAGACAGAACAAAAACTTCATTTTCATTCAGTCTACATGCATTTCAGTGGTGAAGGTGACTTCATTATAGCAACCAGAGTATCTATGTAGTCCCTCCTACACAGAAGCCAAGAGTCTCGGAGTTGTCTTCTGACATCCATGTGTGTGCCAGGAGCATGTGCTTACTCACATCCATGAACACACTACATAAATACATAAATCAAATGTAAAAATAATAGTTTTAAATGGCCACACCCTAAGTAGACAAGGCTGCAGAGAAAAGCCTAGGGCTCTCATACCCCTGCCCAAGGTCAGTGGCCTGCACCCCACTATAGGAACACACAGCTGCAGGTCAGAGGTGGCTCTTGGTTTGCAGATCCACAACAGAATCTAACCCAGGCTCAAGTTCTGAAAACGCCTGAACGGCTACAAATTATTTGATGGCTTTGATGTGATACTAGAGAAGAAAGGAGATTAAGTGGCAGGAGGCAAGTTGCCACTCAGCCCTACAGAAGATCAGCATGGCAGGCAGAGCCAATCTGTCTCCTCTCTTGCCTTTGGGTGACAGGTGCGGATCCTATATCTTGACCCAGGACAAGGCTCCTACTTTCCATTGCTGACACCTGTCCTTCCTATTGGGCCACCGTTCCCTGAGGCCCTACACTGTGCTCTCTGCCTGTTTGCTATCAAACAAATGGTAGGGTTGGCTTATCATGGGCTACTTGCTTTCCCACTGTACACACCCAGGAGACTCCCCTCTGATAAACTCGTAGAAGAAGCCCACAGTGGAAGTTTACAATGGTCAGTACTGGAAGATATGAGAAGCCTGCTGGGGGAGGGGACACGGCTCTACAGAGCAAAGCCTAGGCAGCAGATGTCATAGACACCTCACCTAGGTGATGGCTTCCTGGAGGGAACCCTCATATGCTGGCCTTCACTCCTCTTGCCCACAGCCTCACCTCCAGAACATGTCTCTGCTTCATCTCTGCCTCCTGACCCAGTGTTCTGGAAAAGGTGAGCAGGAAGCAGGAATCTAATAAATATGACAATATGACAAGGTCCAAATAAAGAGCACAGTGCTCTGATAAAGCAGGAAGGTTCCCTTAGATGGGCTGGCCACCCAGAGGAGTCATCTGTGATAGGGAGTTTTGTATAGCTGTTCAGAGAACACCAACAGTCTTGTTTGGTGATGCAACCCCCTCCCACCCCTATGGAAAACATGGGGGTAGGACACCAGGGAAGGGTGGCCCAATAAGAGCCCCACTCTGGCAACAGGAAGGACAGACTGCAAGGCTAGAGGGGACACAAAAATGGACTCCAGAGTCATGGCGAATAGTATCTTCCCTAGACCCTCTAGGATCCTCACCCCAGCAAAACTGAAGTCCAGGATCCTCAAGGTCAGCTGAAAACAAATCCCAAACCACAGGGGGTTCCCAGGCTTATGAGCTCAGTGAAGCATCTTCCACAGATTTAAAAAGGGTTTTCCTTTAGATTTTACTTGTTTTTATTTTATGTGTATGAGTGTTTGTCTGCATGTATATCTCTGCATACCAGAGGCCAGATGAGGGCCTTGGATCCATAAAGGAGTCACCATATGGGTGCTGGGAATTGAACTTGGGTCCTCTGGAAGAGTAGTCAGTGCTGAGCCATCTCTCTATCGTCATTATGGAGGGCGATGGTGCCAATGGCACAAGTACATTGGTTCTTTCTTAACCCCCACAAAATCATTGTAAGTGTCCCCTGGGATTAGCAAAGCTACTGAGAGATCAACCTTAGATCCCTAAGGTGTGTCCCTAGATCCCCACCTGCTTCCCAACACTCTCCAGGCTAGCCTTTGCCACTGAGCCAAGTCCTTTGCCAACCATTCAGTCAGTCAGCCTGCCCTCCTCCTGAAGGCCACAGGCCAGCCATTGTCTCTTCCATGCCACTACCTCCATGAAGAACCCTGGCCTGTCCTTGCTCATGTCCTTCTACACACACTGTGGGTAGAATTGAGTTCTGTCACTGGAATCCAGGGGCAGTACTAAGAGGTCACCATGCAAATGCTTGGTGAAGGTCAGTCATGGGACTGACCATACCACCACAGATGGGAAACTCTAGAGAAACCTAGCCTGTTGGGGGTAGTGGGAACCATTTTGAAGGGTACCTAGCTTCCACCAGGGCCATTTGAAGTTGATTACCTCCCTGATTTCAGCAATAACTCTCCCTGGTTGTCTCTTTCCAAGGACATACACAGACCCTGAGAAGCACTGAGGCTTGATCCCATGGGTTCTATAGCATCTCCTCATTATTCCCTGTATGTGCAAGTAAAAAGCACTTGCTAGGTAGGACATGAGGGAGCAGACCTGTAATCCTAACATTTGGAAGCTGAGGCAGGAAGAGCAGTTCAAGGCAGGTTGGTCAGCAAGACCGACTGTGATTTAACAGAAAAACAACAAATCAATGACTGTAACCCCAGCGCTTGGGAAGAAACCAGAAGGCCAAAGTCAGGGGCAACTAACGAGGCTGTCTGAGGCCAGCTTGGGCTACATTCGGGTGGGTGGGTATAGGGGCAAAATCAAAAAAATTACAACAACAAAGAAGAGCACCTGCTGTAAGGATGCAAGCATTACACTGGCCTGCCCCTGTCCCCTGGCAGAATGCACTCAGGCAGTACTCTGGTCAGTCCAGAGTTCCATGAGTACTGGTCTGCACGCAGGTGCAAAGGACCCCTTAAAAGACAAGACCCCCACCTTACTGCTCTTTCTGCTCCTGTCTCCCTCTTTTCTTCTGTCCTCTCTCTGACTGTCTCTTTACCTCTTTTCTCTTCCCTTCCCCTCCCTCCTCTTTCTAATAAAACTTCTCCCTCAAGCTCTGCCTGGTGTGTTTGTCTCCCAGCATGGTCCCCCACGCAGGAGCCCCTTCCAGCTTTATCCTAACCCTAAACAAAGAACACCACCAACAACTCGGGAGTTGAGGGCCAATAGGTAAGGTGCCTGATGACCACCAGAGCCCTTGACATCCTTATCAGGTCTACAATTAATACTGGGGACAGGACCTCAGGCAAGGTACCTCCAGCATTTTAGCCGTCTGAGAGGTAGCAACCTGCTAAAATAAAAGCAGGTCCCCTCGTGCACAGCACACTCCCGACACACTCTTCTGACTCCCGGTCCCCCGAGACACATTCCAGCAGAAACCCGCCACCGCGACCGCATGTGGACACTCGCAGCCACCTTTCTCTCTCCGCGTGCACGGCCCACGATCCCGCCATACCTCCCACTGCGTTCGCTGCGCCCCGTGTCCTGCGTGTCCAGGCCCAGGTCCGCAACCGGAAGCGTGCGACCGGCCCGCGCAGCGCCGCCATCATCGCCGCCATGGTCCGGGGACCTCAGGCGGCCGGGGCTGCCCTTGGCGCTGCCTGAGCCGTTCGCGCCACGCGGGCCAGACCTGTATGCTGCCAGACCTGTGCGCTGCCTGGGCGAGGTGAGTACCGCAGCCCGGCGCCTGCACCGTTCCGAGCTCAGACCCAGGAATCGGATGCAGCACCCGCGGAACTGGGACTAACTGGGACAGAGCTGAAGGGCGCTGAGCTCGGGCGGGGGTTCTCCAGACCTGGGTGCTGGGTGTAACCTAAGAGAACGTGGGCTGGGGAATGAGGACGCGTAGGAAGGGGTCTGATCCTGGCTGGGGGTCGCTGAAGCGAGGTAGGTCTCCACACTTATCTCAGGGAGCTTGTAGATCAGTTCTGGGGTGGGAGGTAGGCTTGGTGAACCTGTCCCTGGAGTTGGGTTTAACCTGGACAGGATGCGGCACATCCAGGGCCTGGCCCATCAGGAGAGGGTCTCACTTAGTTTTGGATTGGGAGCAGAACCTCTAGGGTCAGAGGTAGCGGGCCCAGGAGGTGGTCAGTGGAGTTGGAAGCTGCTGAGCAATCTCAACAGGTGTTCTCTGAGAGGTCTTAGGATGTCCCTGGGTCTCTCCTTGCAAGACAAGCTGAGGAGCACTAGGGCAGGCTTTGGGACAATGTGAAAGAAAAAGGAAGTCTTCCAGCCAGGGGCCCTTGTTGGCCCTCCAAGCTTTGGGAATGCAGTGGGAGCTGTCACGAGTAATTGTAGCCTCATTTAGGAAGTTGTGGTGGGGTAGGCCCCAAGAGAACAGCTTGTCACAGAGATACAACACTACCCTAATTAACATTGGGGCAGATTTTTGCCTAGGAATGCTGACAGGGGAACTGCTAGCTGAGTCATCCCGGTTTAGGCAGAGGTGGATGCTGTTCTGAAGGGGAACAAGGGACTACAGAAGTCAATGAAGGGAACAATTACAAAAATCAGGGAAGGGAGGGGAGGGAAGAAGGAAGAGGAGGGGGGAAAGAAGGGAAAGGGAGAAAGTGGGGGAGGGGAGGGAGGGATGGGAAAGGAGGTGATCTATGCAAGCTCCTTATGATTTGGTTTGCTGCTGGGCTTGTGGAACTTAATTCCCATTCCCCCACAAGAAGCTGAGGCTAGGGTCTCTGGTTTTAGCTTCAGAGAAATTGGGTCAGCCATCTTGAATTTTCTCAAGCAGACACTTTGGGGTCTGAAGTTGCTCTAGGGCTGCAGACTTGAGCTTCAGAGAGATGGTTACCACTTTAAAAGGAACTTGGCCAAATGTGGTTGAGCCTTCTTGTTCCAGGAGAGAACATATTTCCAGCAGTGGCAGACATCCTTCCTATTGGACAGAAGTCCATTTTCTGTTTCATGACCCTTCCCCTCACAAGGACTAATTGTACTAGGACAAAAATATTTGCTGTCAGGATTTTGTGAAGCTGTTTGTGAGAGTTCATCGGACACGTGTTGAACACTTTTCTAGATGTCAGGTATCTTTGAGACGGTTGAGGCAGTCTGGAGGGTTTCCCAGGTATCCTCTAAGTGTATGAGGTAAAATGATCTATCACAAAGTTTCAGGCATGATCATTTCCTGGAACAATATACGGACCCAGTAGAGGACTTCCGGTGTAGCCCATGTAACTGTGGCTCCAGGTCAAAGATTGTCCACAGAGTATTTGGTGTGTTGAAGACTCCAAAGTTTCTATCAGATTGTTAGGCTTCAGCCTGCAGATCCTGCTGGGACAGGGTAGCTGCACTGAGCATGGCAGAAACAGGAAGGCTGTCCTGAATTTGATGCCTGTTTGTGTTACATGGTGATTTCCAGGCCAACTTGGGCTACAGAATAGGACCCCTGTCTTTGAAAAAAAGAGGGTACAATTTTCTTTTTGCAAATGAAGCTGTAAGATGGTTTTGTGAAATGTTTTGGTTTTTTTGTTTTGGGGGTTGTTTTTTGTTGTTGGTTTGGTTTGGTTTGGTTTTCAATTTTCAAGACAGGGTTTCTCTGTGTAACAGCCCTAGTTCTCCTGAAACTCACTCTGTAGACCAGACTGGCCTCGATCAGGCTGCCTCTGTCTCCTGAGCACTTGGACTAAAGGCGTGCGCTACCACTGCCCAACCATGAAGTAAATTTTTTAAATTAGGGGACGAGAGGGCACTAATACAGTGAAACTCAAATTGCAAACATTCTTGCTCTAAGTAAATATAGTTCATTTTTGTTATTAGTTCCTCTTTTTAAAGCTGGCCTAAGCCTTGCACCAAGACTCCTGCATCGGCCCTTCCTGTGTTGGGATGACATTTGTGAGCCACCACAACTGGCTCTAAGTGTGTCTATGTGTTTGTGTGTGGGAGTATGGGCAAGTACATGCCATGATGAACATGAGGAGGTCAGAGGCGGTGTCTTTTTTCTTGTTTACTATTGCTCATGCTATACTAGCTGACCCACAGGCTTCTGAGGTCTGTCTCTTATCTCTCTTCACAGCACTGGAATTTTAAACACATATTACCATGTTTGGCTTTAAGCAATTTTAGGAATCAGAACTGAGTGGTCTTTCCTGGCCCAGTTGTTTTAAAATCATTTGCAATGCCTTTAGAGAAACACTGTTATTTCTGTAGGCTGTTTTGACTTTATCAGTTTCTTGACTTTCAGCTAAGAGGAAAACACAAACTAGATCCTAGGATAAGGGGCTTCTTTTCTTTTCCCCTTAAGTTTTCCTGACTTGAGAAGGAAAGGATGGAGGGTGGGGAATGTAGCTTGGATGGTAGGATGCTTGCCTGACAACCCTAACCCTGGGTTCTACCCCTCGCACTTCATAAAATTAGGCACGATGGGATATTTCTAGAAATCCAGCACCCAAAAAGTAAAACAGGAGGATCAGAATTCAATGGCATGCTCATCTCCATAGCAACTTTGAGGCTTGCCTGGGCTACATGAACACCCCACCCCACTCCCCATCCCTACCCCAAAATAATCAACAAAACATGTAAGAAAATGGAGTGAAACTCATTCAAGGGTAAGTCATAAATCCTTGAAGACAGTGAACAAGAACAGAATCTGAAATGTGAGCCTGAGGATGTACAATCATCATGCTTGAACTCACAGCATTTGGGAGGTAGAGGCAAGAGGCTCAGGAACTCAAGGCCAGTCTTGGCTATGTAGCAAGTCCAAACCCAACCTGGGGCACACAAGGCCCTGTCTTAGTAGGAGAAGAAAGGAACTTTAAGAATCTGATAAGCTGCACAAATGTGTTATGCTTCTCTGTTGAAACACAAACATCACCTCCCTTTTTGATCAAAGATAAAGCAACATTTTGCCTTTTTGCAGGGTACTGGAATTGCACCCAGGGTCTGGTTTCTGCTAACCCTACATACCACTCCTGGGGTTAAAGGTGGGTGCCACCACTGCCTGCTTAGAATTCTTTTTTAAACAATCAGGCAGTGGTGGCACCCACCTTTAATCCCATCATGTGGGAAGCAGAGGCAGGCTGGCGAACCTCTGAGTTCCAGGCCAGCCTGGTATATAGTTCTAGGACAGTCAGGGCTATACAGAGGAAATCCTGTCTCAAAAAACAAATCAAAAAAAAAAAAAAAATGTAGCAATGCTGCTGTTCTGGAGAACTGAGTTTGTTTTCTAGCATCCATCAGGTGAGTTAATGTCAATGGCTATAAGGACTCAGGCACTATGCTGGCCTGCCCCTGTCACCTGTCAGAATGCACTTAGGTAGTACCCTGGTCAGTCCAGGGTTCCATGATTGTGTAGGACCCTCTTACCCTCTCTTTTCTGCTCTCTTTCCATTCTTTTTTCCCTCTTTCCCACTATTCCTTTGGGGCAGACAGGACTTTTCCTGTCTCCCTCCTCTGTCTGTCTCTGTGTCTTTACCTCTTTTCTCTTCCCCCTCTCCCCCTTCCCTTCTTTAAGTGCCTGCCGTGTTTGTCCCTCTGCCTCGGTCACCCTCCCCTGCCATGGAATCCACCAAGGTTTCCCTCCAGCTTTATCATAACTATAGGCACCTGTAACTCCAGCCCTCTTCTCTGGGGGCACACACACGGACACATAAATGAGAACAAAAAAGAACTGTAGATGGAGATACTTTCAATTCCAACACTCAGGAAACAGAGGCAGTCAAATCTTTGTGAGTTCAAGGCAGGCCCAGGAACCTCAGGTTACTTTGATGACCTCTGTAAGAACAAGGTACACCCAAATTTGTGTACAGCTCACTGAGGTCTGATGGCTGATTCTGGGGTGTTTCTGAGCCTTCAGAGGCTTTTTAAATTACTTGTGGATCTCTGGGGGCTAATTACTATTCTTACTGTAGTGGTATGAATATGCAAGCCAATTCTAATAAAATAATAATGGTTTTTTTCTTATATACTCACTTACTTGTTATTTTGGTTTTTTAAGACCGTTTCTTTGTGTAGCCCTGGCTGTCCTGGAAGTCACCCTGTAGACCAGGCTGGCCCTTAACTCAGAAATAAACCTGTCTGCAGAGAGCTAGGACAAAGGTTCAAGCCATCATGTCCCGGTTGTTTGTTTTGAGACAGTCTCTCCATGTATCTTCCTAACATGGAGTTTGCTGTGTAGATCAGGCTAGTGCCTCGCATTGATCACCGTGCCACTGCCTCTAGAATGGTAGGGTGGCAGGTGCTACCACACCTAGCCAGCAAAGTTTTTCAAGAGGGTTTTATAAACATTGGCTTAATAAACTCAAACTTAGTTCCTTAAAGCCCTCTGGTACTCCCTGATTCTGGGTAATCATTCTCCAGTGGGATACTTTGTCAACAGCTGCCCCCTGAAGTTTCCACTTGTGTCCTGCTGTAGGGGAATATAGATCCTAATTGTAGCTATGCAAGTAGCTTTGACCATGAAAGAAGTTATTTGGTAAGTTTTGATATTTGGAGGGAACAGACTACGAGGAAAAGATAAGCATTTCAATGTAGTTTAACAAAGTATACTTTATTAAATAGTTATGAGTCATGGATAGCTAAAGAGAACCCAGCTTCTTTTTATAGTCAGCAAATAAAAAATAGAACTCCAGCTAGTAGCAATGATCCAAAAAGCAATCAAGCTTAAGCCTTCCTTTCTTTTTACCCAGCCCATGTCCTTAATTCCTGATTAATTTTTAATTTTTTATTTTGGAGGCTTTTGGTCACTATGAAGATAAGACTAGCCTTGAACTCAAAGCTCAGCCTACTTCTCCTCCTAAGTGCTAGGATTAATGGCACCACCACTGAGCTACTCTTCAGCCTTAGTTCCTGTGGTTTCATATATTGGTTTTTGACCTGGACCAGCAAGTTGTTCTTCAGTGACAGGGTCCTGAAGAATAAGGACAAGGGGATCAGAG